GAGACTTTCCCACTGAGTGTAGAACCCAAGCTAGGATGCTTCTGTCACAATTCTCTTTCCCAAAGAGACTCAGCCCCAAAGAAGCTTTAAACTCAGCTGGTTCCCATTTCCCTCTTGGGTCCCTTGGCTCATGCCTATCAATTCATCACACTGTCCCCAAGTCTTCTCCAATCTGGCATGGAAGAGTGAGATGACTCAGCCTGGTCCTAGTCCTGGATGGCTTCACAGTCCAGGAGAAAAAACTGGCCCCTAAGCATTCCCTATGAGAGCCCCCGTCACGTTGTGTGGACAGACGGCTCACATACTTCCATGTGTGAGGAACTCACTACCACCAAGGCAGACTCTTCAAGAAAATATTTCCCTCAATGGTCTGACATATTATGCAGTGAAATAAGGCAGTATATGTGGTGCAAAGACAATTTTCTAAAAATATTTATGCTTAGAAGAAAGTCTAGACGGCTATTCCTACAAAGGTGATTTATCTTTGGGAGATGGGATTGATGATGTAATTATTCCTTATGCATGCTTATTCCTATTTTCCAAATTTTGCCTAGCATTGTTCAGCCTGAGTGTCCTAATATATAAAATAGAGACAAAAAGCTCTACCTTACTGGTGGATACCAACACCCTTTCAAGATTAAAAAGTACCCAGTGAACTAAAAAATAGAAGAGAACATCCTTAACTTAATAGAGGCCACCTATTAAAAACACATAGCTGTAAAACACACAGCTAAGATTAGACTTAATGGCTAAAGACTGAACGTTTTCCCTCTATGATGAGGAATAAGATAGATGCCCACTCTTGACACTTCTATTCAGCATGGCACTGGAGGTTCTATCCAGGGTGATTAGGCAGATGACATGTTCTTGTATGTAAAAAATCCTAAGGCAGGGCAGCGCCTGTGGCTCAATGGGTAGGGCTCAGGCCCCATATACTGAGGGTGGTGGGTTCAAACCTGGCCCAGCCAAATTGCAACAAAAATATAGCCAGGCATTGCGGCGGGTGCCTGTAGTCCCAACTACTCAGGAGACTAAGGCAAGAGAATCACTAAGTCCAAGAGCTGGAGTTTGCTGTGAGCTGTGACACCACGGCACTCTGCCGAGGGTGACAAAGTAAGACTCTGTCTCTAAAAAAAAAAAAAAAATCCTAAGGCAAGTACACACAAACTATTACAGCCAATCAACAAGTTCAGAGAGGTTGCAGGATATAAAATACATACAGCAGAACATTGTTGAGGGAAATGAAAGAAGACTTAAGTAAATGAAAAGACATTGCATGTTTATTGATCAGAAGACTTAACATTGTTAGGATAGCAAATTGATCTACAGATCTACAGATTCAATACAATCCCTCTCAAAATCCCAGATGGATCCTTTGTAGAAATTGGTGATCTGATCATAAAAGTCATATTGAAATCGAAGGGACCCAGAATAGCCAAACAATCTTCAAAAAAAAAAGAATAAAATTAGAGGACTCACATGTCCCAATTTCAAAATTTACTACAAAGTTAGAGTAACCAAGTGTGGTTCTTGAATAAGGAAAGACCTATAGGTCAGTGGAATAGAACTGGAGTTCTAAAATAAACCTTAACAGGTCAGATCAATTGATTTTAACAAGAGTGCTGCTAAGATAGTTAAATGAGGGAAAGAACAGTCTTTTCAACTTGTGATACTAAGACAACTGGATATCCTCAGGCAAAAAAATGAACTTGGTCCCCTATTTCACACTGTATGCAAATATTAGCTCAAAATAGACCAAAGACATAAATAAAAGTTAAAACTACAAAATTGCCAGGTGTGGAGGCTCACAACTGTAATCCTAGCACTCTGGGAGGCCGAGGTGGGTGGATTGCTTGAGCTCAGGATTGTGAGACCAGCCTGAGCAAGTGTGAGACCCCCCTGTCTAAAAAATAGCCTGTAATTGTGGCAGGCACCTGTAGTCCCAGCTACTTGGGAGGCTGAGGCAGGAGGATGGCTTGAGCCAAGAGTTTGAGGTTGCTGTGAGCTATGACACCACAGCACTCTACCAGGGTGCACACTACCAAGAAAGTGAAAAGACAATCCTCAGAATAGGAGAAAATATTTGCCAGTTTGCCAGTTATATATCTGATGAGAAATTTGTACCCAGAATATACTAAGAATATTTACAACTCAATGATAAAAAAACAAATAACCCAATTTTAAAATGGGCCCCCAAAATCTGAATCAACATTTCTCTAAAGAAGACTTACGACGCGACGGAGAGGGCAGTGGGACGCGACGGAGAGGGCAGTGGCCGCGTTACAGACGACTCTCCTGAAGGCGTACAGACGACTCTCCTGAAGGCGTACGTAACCAAGGAGCTCCCCATGCTCATTGTCTCATTGAAGTGGGATTTGCTTAACTTGAGGGGTGTGTCTTCAAGCTCGGGCCTCCTTCCACACTCCATCATGGTGACTCCTCCAGGTGCTGTATGGCCCAGCCATCACTCTGGCTGCATCCCTCTGGGCTCTTGGCTGTCCCCTGCCTTGGAGCAGCAGAGGCCATGGCTGTGAATGCTGGCACCAACCTAGGTGGCCAGGGGACCAGTTCTACACCTTCTGCATGTTCTCCACATACACCAAGCTTCAAGGAGAACCCCAGACAGCTCATGATAATCTGTATCCTGCAGGGGCATGATGGGGAACCATGCCCTGTCCCTAAATTCCAGGGAGCTGGTGCTACTAACCTGACTTGTGACTCTTGTCTTCAACTACCACCTCAAGGTCCCAGAGGGGACCTGGTGCCAGCGCTGAGTCCTTCCTGCCCCTTGGCCCTGGACTACCAGGGAGGAGAGTGTCCAGCTAGATCTGTCATGAGCCACTCTTAGCCCCCTCATCTCTTGTCCCCCTGTCCCAAGCTGCCTGATGATACCCTTTTTACTCAGTTGCAGCTCTTACTAGTCAGCCTGCTAGTCAAGGTACAGGAGAGCTCAAAGCCATCACCAGAGGCCTGGTGGAGCCAGGCTGCACCAGGCTCAGGCTGGCTCCTCTGGCACTATGTGCAGGGAGGAGGGTCCTGGAGCTGTTCAAGGAAGAGGGACAAACCCCACGTCAGGTGACCAGGCCCAAGGGAGGAGCTGCACACAGCACAGCCAGGGCTGGGAGGCCAGGTTCCAGTCGAGTTGGGGCCAAGCAAGTCAGTACCTTGCTTGTGGGTGAGCCATAGACAGACATGTTCAAAAGCCCTAGAAGAAGGATGTCCTTGATTGCACCTACCCCTGTGGATTTCACTGGCCAGAGCCAATGGGAGGAACAAGCACTGTTGGCCATTTATTGCAAGTCTGTGGGTGCAGAAATTTTGCGCAGAATTTTTTTAAAGGCTTTTTGTTTGTTTTTGTAGAGTATTTTTGCTCAATGCTTTCAGGATAGGTGCCGCTTGGGATTTATTCCTCTTTGTGAAGGTTGTCCTCATGGCCAAGTTTTGGGGGGTTTTGTTTGCTATTTATGGGCAGCCAGTCCCTCCAGGTGGGTCTAGTTTCTCTAGTGGCCCCAGGCCATTCCGGGCCTGGGTTCAGAGTGTGTTTAGGCAGAGTCACAGAAAAGAACTCCACAAGGGCAGAGCCCTGGTGGTTGTGGCTCTATAACCCTGGTGCTGGGTGCATAGGATCACTCATTAAATGGCTGATGGCATCACTCTGTGTGGACTGTGGTGTTTATGTGTCCCCATGTGGGCTCTCATGAGCTAGATCCAGGGGTGTCCTGAGGACAGAAGTACATGCCAGCACCTACATCCTTGGGCCCCTAGCTCTGCAGGCTGTTCAATAGGCTGCTGATGGAGGCTGGGCTCTTGACAGCTCAGATCATAGTGACAACCCCAGATAGTATTTTGAGTCTTTATGAACCTACAAGCAAGAAGCCCCCACCAGAAATTACCCGTGGCTAGGTTGTGACTACTAGTACCTCTACAGACAACAGGATTATGGGTGGGTCAGGGATGGTCTGCAAAGGCTGCCTTTAGGGCCCAGGGCAGGATTTTCCACAGTGTAGGGGAGGGGGAAACTGGTGGTTGCCCCATTGTAGAAGTCAGTTGGTTTGGCTTCTCCAACTGAGGACTATTTTGAGGCTGTTGGCCCTAGCCCAACCTTTTCCCCTTGTTCCCAGACCTTTCTCCCGGTTGCTAGGAGTGGTTCTGTTGCCACCACAAGTCCCCTTAGCTGCCTCCTGGCCACCACATGTAATGAGAGCCAAGTGGCTGTAACTGAGCACCTACCATACCTCAGCCTCCCCACCCCAACACTCCACAGTGAGGTCTGGCCCTGGGATGGGGATGGCCACACTGTCTGCTGGCCTGTGGAGAGGGGTTTGGCAGGTTAGGGCAGTGGTATGGGTGTGCACATGTCCCCCATAGGGCCTGCTGTCATAACCATTAGGCTCCTCATCTTCAGCATTTTACTTAAAGAGCTGCCCCCACCTCCCTCCAAATAATTGTACCACATGCTACCATAGGCAACCCAGAGAGTGTCCTCAGCACCATCTGCTTTTTGCTGGTCCCTGGGAGGTTAATTTGGGGGATTGTAGAACCTGCTGGATTTGTCCTGGCTCTGCCAAATGAGGTTCAATCCCTTACCCCAAGTCACAGTCAGGATTTGTGCCAGCTGGCTAGGTGGGCTTTGAATCCCACATCTGCCCTCTGCAACGGGGGCCTGACCCCAATCCAAGGGCATCTGGAAGCTGGTGCTGGCATGGCCCACAGCAGGGCTCACTAGCAGGACTGGACTTTGTCACACATTAATGCAGGAGTGTGTGACGTGGACACATGCCAGCGTGTACATACAGACATAAATGCAGAGACATCAACATATGTCCACATATGCACCCACATGTGCTACCTTCACAAACGCATGTGTACATGTACCACTGTGGTTTCCAAGCCAGTGGAAACCAGCCCTTGCTCCCCACATGCACAATAAGTCACAGACCAGAGCAGTGGGTATGCACACATGTTAGCATCCAATGTCAGCTGTGGGGGCAGTTTCTGGCTCACACAGGACCCCCCAAGGCCCGCAGGCAGCTTGGTCTCCATGCCAGCAGGCCCAGTCCCATGCAGAGAGCTGCCAGCACAGCCACAGCTCCGGCCAGCAGGGGCACCACAGGGGCTGCAGGGAGAACATGTGGGTCGTGAGTTCTAGGTCTCAGTGACCCACTCCCACCCTAACCCAGAGGACTATCACCTGATGGGGTGGCAGCCTCATAGAGGCCATGGCAGGGGACCCCGTGAACTGGAGGCCGGACTGGGGCTGTTAACTGGTGGAAATGACCAAGTGGGCAGGGGGCTGGGCATCCAGGTAGGCTGAGAGACAATGGCTGATGGGCTGAGTCATTGCGATAGAAGAGGGAGATGGTGACATTCCTGAAGGGAGAAAGGAGACTGTTCTACCTCCCCTGCTGCTGACTTTAAAACCTGGAGAAACTGGGCTTCTGATTACCCCTTGTCAATCTTATAACACGATCCTATGAAGATCCCCCATGACCCCCAGGGGCCAGTGCCTGGCTGTGTCTTCTGCCCAGCAGCTATGCCATCCCTCTTGAGAGTTCTGTCCCACCCACTCCCCTGGCACCACCCCATCCTCACCCTCCATCTTCATCCAGATCTCCGAGGCGCCTCCGGAACTCAAAGCCAAGGCAGGCAGCATATGGTGGGGCGTGCCCATCATAGAGGCCCAGGGCCCCCTGCAGGGCCAGCAGGGTGCTGTCATGCTGCAGGTGATCCAAGGACTGAGACAGGGCTCCTCCCCTGAGATCTCTCTCCTGAACTCTAGACTTGTGCATCCAGCAGCCTCCAAGTTGTCTCCCAGACTCCTTAGAAGTGACCCCCACCAACCTCCTTCACTCTCCCAGAAAGGCAGTCCCACCAGTTACAGACATTCATTCAGTAAAGATTGGTCAAATAGATGCAAAATCTGACTGGACAGCTCTATTAAACACCCTGTCCTTCCAGAGGAGCTAAATTCTTTCTCCCAGGACACCATCACCTCCCTCCTTCTTGAATCTATACCTCTAGTGATATGGTCCAAGAATATGGTTTGGAGATAACGGGTTACCCAAAGCAGTGAGCTGAGGTTCCACTGGGACCACAGGTTGTTCCTCACCCAAATTGCCATCACCCTTATCCCTGTGCCCAGATGGCACCACTTCCCTTCCCGAGGACTCACAGCTGAGTACATGACCATCTTGAGAGGAAGCCCCAGGCGCTGGACCCGGGAGAAGTTGGAGAGGATAGCATCCAGGAGGATCCCTGACAGGGCAGGAACAGAGCCCTTAGAACCCCTGAAAGGAAGGTGCCCCACCCTCTCAGCCTCCTGGTTCCACACCTCACCCCCTGTCAGCTGGGCTTTCTCTGCTGCCCGAGGTGGGCCCACGTGGGCCCCAATATCCAAAGCAGAGATCTGGGCAAGTGTCTGCAGGACATCTGAGGAGGCCCAGGATGGGAGGGGAAGGCCGTGGGCTTGCTGGAAGAGATGGAGAGGGGACAAGGAGATGTGCCAGCTTGAGCCCTCATACTCCTCTCTGGCCCTCCCAGGCCTGTGAGATAGATGACCTTCTCCCACCTTGTACCTGAGCTCCTCCCTCATAGGCTGGTCTGGTCAGGATATCATGGTGTGGAAAATAGTGATAATAACACTAACTGTCATCACATTGTGATCCAGAAGCAACTATCTGAAACTCCTGGAGCCAAAGGTGTTTTGAAATTGAGACGTTTTGGATCTGAGAAGATGTAACAGTGTATAGCACATTACACATGGTGAAGGCTGGTGCAGTCCTGAAATCATGCACATCAATATTCCCACTGTGACACACCACACCCTGAATTTGGGTAAACAAGGCAATGACAAGCAGTGCATCATTTCAGGTCAGCTCCTGCTGCCTGAGTTTTGGGTTTTCCAGTTACTGGACTTTGGGGGAAGAATTGCCTATGTACATATGGGCCTGTATCCTCAAACCCCTGTGTGGCCCACACACATGCTGAGTACTTATCTGGATTAATCTGTTTGAATCCTCGGGGTGCTGATACAGGTGTTTCCATCCCCATTGTGAAGATGGGGAAACTGAGGCAACAAAGGGTTAAGAAACTTGCCTGAGGGAACACAGCTAGCAAAGCTGGGATTGAAAGGCTGGTGTCTTTTAACCCCTTGGCTGGGAGGAGGTAAGGGCTTACCTGGCAAATCAGTGTGTCCAGAACCTTCCATGCCCTGCGGAGCGGCTCTCCAACCAGCAACAGCCCAGTGAAGTTCTCCAGGCGAGTCAGGAAGTCCTGGATGCAGGAGGCTGAGTGAGCGGAGCCTGCCCTCCCCGCCCCACCCCCTGTTGGCAACCCGGCTCACCGTCCAGCCCTCCAGGGCCTCCTGGTACTCTTCGGCCTCTGTGGTCTCCTGCAGCAGTTCATGGTAGCGGGGACAGCTGCGCATGGGGAACCTCAGCAACTGGAGGAAACTGAGGCTCAGAGAGGACATCAGCATGCCTAGCTCTCATGGCACATGGGGAGTTGGGGCTCTTGGCCCTTGCTTCAGGTCTAGTCTCTCCAGACCTAGCTGAGCAGCTAGGACAGCGGCTTAGCACCGTCTGGACACTGCCTCACTGCCCTGAGTGGCCTAGGCCTCCAGAAGCCCATGCAGCTGGGCCTGCAGCTGC